TCATATCATTAAATAACAAATACATGAAAATAGCTAACATTAATATAGCACTTACTTTGTGTCAGACACTGTGCTAGTTATTGCTGTCCTTTTGTTTATCTTTTGGGGGATAATGTTAAGATTCAAGATTTTTCCACACCTCTGATTTCTTCTACTCCTTTAGCTACTGTAAGCATTGATCTCTCAATGCCCTCAAAATTATATTACTTCCAGGACATGCTCCCTTCCAGGACATGAGTATATTCTCATTCTAGTCTACCTCCTTTTCCTATCTTTGTTTTCTTCCACTATATTTCCTCTAAATTGCACACACCATATAGTTTTCTCATCGTATTCTTTGAGTTTCATATTAATTTTGAGCTTTTCTCTAAAATGTCTGTGGCCTGACCATCCAGAGACAGTTTATTCAGGAGTGGTTTCCACATGAATAATGAGTCATCATTTCCTGTCCATTAAAATATAATCAATTTCATCTTTTATGATGTTATTTGGTGTTCACTATGTCCAGAACTTTCCAAATCTTTTCTTGAAGAAAGTATTCATGATATATAGGTGTAAGACTTCACTACAGTCTATAAATTCTTGGCCTCCTTTATTCTTTACCCTTGGACCATATTTTCCAATATATTTTTTGCACTTTTCCCTCAGACCCACCCACCTTTCCTTTAAAGTCACTGAATTTAAGGACAGAGGTGTTTTTTTTCAATTAGGATAAATTTAAAGTTTTTCTTTTTTTTTTTTATAGAAGTGTTATACCTCTTCTTTCTCTATTAGAAGGCATTGACACATAAACTGCAAAATTTTTCATGGATCCTTTTGCAAATACTTACCTTGAATATCACAGCTAGGTAGTACAGTGGATAGAGTATTAGCCTTGGAGTCAAGATGATCCAAGCTCAAATCCAGCCTCAGACATTTATTAGCTGTGTGACCCTGGGCAAGTCATTTAACTCTGTTTGCCTCGGTTCCTCATCTGTAATATGAAGGAAGTGGCAAAGCACTTCAATATCTTTGCCAGAAAACCCCAAAGGGGTCACAAAGAGTTGGACATGACTGAAAAAACAGAACAAAAAATCCTGAATATCACAATATGAGATGACTCGATGTGCCATGAAATAGTGTTTCTTGGGACTTGGTGGAACAATAACAATATAATTAAAATTCTCTGACTTAAGTTGTCTTTGGATACAGGATAAAGCCTACTCCTCCAACCCCTTTATCTGACTCTCCAAGGAGAACCTGCAAACCATGCTTCACTTCAGCTACAACTTCTTTTCACTTGTTTCATTTGTAGAGAATGTCGAGATTGACATAGTTTGGTTACTCCAGTAGTATGTCATTGGACAAGGATCTCACATTTCAGTACAAACAGATAAGATAATGTTTGTGTCATTCTAAAAACTATGTGATCCCCAGAATCCTCTGCTCCATTTTCTGCCCTTTTGCAACCATTGATGTAAAAGTCAGACCCAACAGCAATGAGGATCATTTTATGTTTTTCTCTACCTCTAGACAGTGCCAAAAAATGAAGTCTGTGCTGGGACAGTACTTAAAACACCTACATAGTGGAACTGCTAGAGCTTCTACTCTTTTTGCCTAGTCTTCAAAAAGATAAGACCTCCTCTCCACTCCCTCCCCCAAAAGAGCAAGACCCTTGCATAGTCAGGGTCACCTCTATGCTACAAGGAGACATTGGAGTAGAACTTGGTAGAGGACTATAAATTAAATGAACTTCTATGATTCAAGTTTTTTTTTCTCTAGCTCAAACCAAGTGTTTCAAACTTTATATCAGGGGTGATTTTTTGGGGGGAGGCTATCAGGGTTAAATGATTTGTCCAGGGTCACACAGCTAGTGTCTGAAACTGGATTTGAAGTTAGGTCCTCATGACTCAAGGGTGGGTGCTCTATCCACTGCACCACATAGTTGCCCCACAGTGATTATTTATTTATATAAAACTTTTTTTAAGGGGTGTTGTAATTGGCTTGATACTTACCTACCTCAGTCCAAACATCTCTGTGCAGTAATAGCTATATGGGTTGTTAAGCTAAATAAGAGGAAGTATATTTGTATTATAGGGAAAACAAAACAAAACATTGGATTTGGACTCAAAGGATACAATTTTGAATCTCAGTTCTGTTTACTACCTGTATAGTGCTTCTCAGTGTGGTCAGGGATCCCTGAGGGTCTCCAAGACCCTTTTGATGGGTTTGTGAGATCAAAGCTATTTTCATAATGCTGAAATGTTTTAATTTCATACATATATAGTAAATATCAATAGATATAATTCACATAAATAAAAGCTCTTTGGGGTCCTCAATTTTGAAGAATATAAAGACTAGAAATTTTTAACATTTACTGGGATAAATGTCTAAAGTGCCTTCCAAATCCAAGTCATATGATCTTATGAAAACCTCAATCTTTACTTAGGAGAGATTTCTCTCAGGGTCCTCCAATATCAGTTGTCAGTAACCGAATGCTTGATAATATTTAATAGGTTATGCCTATACTGTCCATTTTGTTCACAACCTAATGACTCATTTATTTAAATCCCAGAATCCCAGACTTCAAATTTACTTTATAACCTTTCACCTATCCATAGTGATGATTCAAATTATACAGAGATAAGCCATAGTACTTTGGCTTCTCTATATTACATGAGCACAAAATTCAGTTCACTTATAAGACAGATCTATCTTGAATCCAGAGGGGTTTATTATGGCAAATGACAGATCCTATTAGGACATTGTCTTATTTATAGGAAAAAGTTCTTTTCTACAGAGTTAAAGGAATGAAATTGCTTCCTAATATGTGAATTTCATTTAAATGGATAACCATCACTGTAACATAGATAGGGAAATATCCTTTACAAGTATAACTGTTGCTATCTCTTAGACTATATGTTGTCTAACTCTATGGTAATGGAGAGTTTTCACAGTGGGAGTTTCCCTGCATGAGACAATTACTGGTCTGGCCTCCCCCCAATATAGATAAGAGATTTATGCACATACACAATTCCAATCCCAATGCTTACCGTTTAACTTCTCTTAGAAAACCACTGATATAACTTTTTAATAGTTTGAAATCAAGCCAGAAATAGCCAGAGCAAATAAAAAGAGAGAATGCTAAGATGGGAAGGTTCCTCTTGTTAATGGTAAAAAGGAGGAAAAAAATCTTCTGTCTGAATTTGCACGCAATTCTGCAATCATTCCTAAAGTGGAAGTTAGCATTCTGTTTAGCTGACAATGCAATTTGGGGAACTTCAACTGCACTCACCATTTAAGAACTAAGAACTGATTGGCCAACTCTAAGAACATATATATCATGCCAGTTCCCCCCCCCATTTAGATATGTCAGAATGAAGATAAATATATACTATATACACATGTATGTATACTTGTGTATATGTGTACAATATGATGCACATGTATGTAGACCTGTATATGCATTTTTGATTCATTTTAATGACCCTAATTTTTTTTTCTGCTTTGCCATGTTATATGACTGTCATGTATGTGGAGATATATATATATATATATACATGCACACACTGTAAGATAATACACACATAATGGTATGCGTATATGTATTATTTGTAAGGAAACAGCACTCACATATAATGTGTACACATGCACGTATAGACATTATGTAGTGTATATAGATATGAATCTGCATCGGCTTGTATGATGCCCAATATTTCCCAAACCTTGCTTTTCATCAAGCATTGCTCTGCACAAAGCACTCTCTCGGTACACGAGGAAACCACATGGTCTTTCTACATCATTTAAAAACTCTCAGGCAAGCTGCCTACTGCAACATGGCTCACATGCTCACTCTTAACTCCCATCTATTGCTTGTAACAAATCCATCCAGGCGAAATCACTCCCTATCAATCAGTCTGGGCTTCGGATTTTTAAAAAATATAAAACCTACAGACCCTCCCCCTCTACCATTCAGGATCAGAAGGGGAAAAAAAGTGGAGAGTAGTGTAGGGGTGGTCGGTGGCGTAGGTGGAAGTGCTTCCATCCTGGATGGGAGGCTGGGAACAGAGCCAAAGACAGCCTTCCTTACAGGACAGGTCTAAGCAGCGCCTCCTCCTTTGTTCTTTCTGCCTCTGATGCGGCATCTCCTTTTCTAGTCTCCAGCCCCGTCCTCCGTGGGAATTTTGCTGGTTGGCCTTTTATTTTTTTTTTCAACTAAGTTGGGATTCTTTCCCTTTTCGTTTCCATCTTGTTCCACTACCCCGATAGAGCTGGTTCTTCCGACCCGTTTCCTCCCGCACCTCCCCCCACCCCCCTCACCTCCAGTTCCTTCCCCATAGACCTGGGGGCGGGGGTGGGACTAGTCGGGATGCGGGGCTCACTCGCTAAGTAGCCTAGCCTAGACTTGCACTGCCCCGGCGTCTTGGGGCGCGCGCCAGCATTTTTCTGCTTAAAATGGTCAATAGAGACGAGCCCTATCTTCTTCTCTCCCAGCCCATCCCAGGGATGCGGAAGGATGGGGCTCCCTGGAGGCTGGGCTCCTCTTTAGACCTCTTATAGTCTGGGCCGTTTTCCCCCTTCACCCCGGGAAGAGGAAGGTGGATTGCAAAAGCGAAGCTTGGGTAAAGCGGCAGCCGCCTCTCCAGCGCAGGCATTTTGGGGGCGCCCAGCTCCCTCGGCCGGCCCGGTTTTGCATTCCACTCCAGACCACCCGAACTCCAGCCTGTGTGTGTATGTGTGTGTGTGTGTAGATGTGCGTTGCCCTGCTTCACAGATTCACCGTGTGTCCCACTCCCGCCCCATCCCTGTCTCTCCCTCTCCCAGGCCTCCGCACGGCCGGCCGGCTCTGGCCCCTTATATAGCTCTCTAAAAATAGCTCGCCTTACACCGCCTTGTAAGGCAGAAGGGAGATCAGGCTTGCTCCAATCCCCAGACCCCTTGGCTGCCAAGCTCCGCCCCAGGTCCCGTCTCTCTGCCCCCGATTGGTCCTCAGTGACTTCATGAGCCCCCCCTCCGTTTACCTTACATGGTCACACGTTGCCTTAATGGACGCTTTCTTCCAAGATCCCACGACTGCGCGGAGAGGAGTGAGGAGGGAGGGAGATTGGGGAGGGGGAAGAGGAGCAGCAGCAGGAGAAGGAGGAGGGGAAAGAAAGGGAGGGGGGGGAGGACTACAAACTAGCAGGGATGGGGTGGGGGGTGGGGAGGGAAGGGGGGGGAAGCGATCGCGAGAAAAAAAAAATGCAACCTCCCAAAATAAAGAGCAAAGATTGCATTAGGAGCGAACAGCAATGCAGAAATAGATGGCAGCTTCGTGTCAGTGAGTTTGCATCCCCCTTCCTGGTCCACGAGCTGGAGTGATTAGAGCCCTGGAAGGGAATTCTTGCATTTACTACAGTGGAGAAGTACCCCTTTCCTGGCAGCCGTTTCCACTGTACATGTTGGATGCCTGTCTTCATCCTCTTTCACTCTCTCTTCTCTCATCTCCTCTCTCCCTTTCTCCTCCGCATTGATTTTTTTTTAAGTGTGACTGAAACGAAACAAACCAAACCAAAAGGGACCCTGGATTTATGCCTTTTTTGGGGGGTGAGACAAACAAACAAATAGACAAACAAACAAACAAAACTGTGGAAGGGGGAGGGTTTCTCCTCCTGCTTTGCCCAGCAGCAGCAGCAGCATGGACGTGTTGGCTAGTTATAGTATATTCCAGGAGCTGCAACTTGTCCACGACACCGGCTACTTCTCAGCTTTGCCATCCCTGGAGGAGAACTGGCAGCAGGTGAATGATTTAAATTACTTGTGTAAATCTTGTAGCGGCGAGAAGCTGGGGCTGCGTTGGTGCGGGCTTTGGGGTTTTTAAGGCGTTTTTTTTTGGGGGGGGAATGTGTGTGTGTGTGTGTGTGTGTGTGTGTGTGTTTGTTGTTTAAAATGTTTCCTGAAACATACATACTCTAACCTTACCCCCTTTCCCCCTCCCCCTCCCCTCCACCCCACGTTTGCCAAACAGAGCAGTCCGGTCCGAGCTGTATTCAGTCATAAACACAAGTCCTTACACTCGCAGACCATTCCGTTGTAGAGATCCGCTTAACTTCTCGGTTTAGGGTTGGAATGGTTGATTTGATAGCGATATGGCTATGGAGATATGTGCATGTATTGGATTAGAGATATTACTTAACCCTGCTTAGTAACTTAAGTCAGGTTGATCGCTTTCAGCTGATTTTGACAACCGGCAGGTGGTAGAAAAGGGATCGGAGAGGGTATTTTCAGCTAATTAGTATGTGTTCATAAAACAAACAATAAAAATCTTCGTTCGGGGGGATATTGAAAGGGTGGGCAAGGAGAGAGCAGAGAACCAGTAACAAAAGACACTAAGCAATACCTAGGAGTGGGGGATGAAAGTGCATTTGTTTTAGATTTATAATGTATTTTCAGCTTCCGCCCCGTGGAGTCAAATGCCTCTAGAAGAGAAGGGGGGGGGGAACCAACCCAGTCCCCTTCAGCTAACTGTTTGTTGTTCTCATTCCTGAGAACCCTTTGCTTCGTGCTGGCAGCCACACACCGCTTGAAAGGGGTGTGGTGTATTTTTTATGTGTTTTATTTTATCTTATTTAAAATAGGAGCCTCGAGAAACTAAGATGATGCCTGAGGCGACCCCGCATCCAGGTCTTCAGGTGGTCTGGAGGAGGGAGAAGTGGGGTTGATTTCTAGTCTTCATTAGACCAATGCAGTGCTACAATACAATCTACTTCTGTGAGAGGTAGATAAAGAAACTGCCAGTAGAAAATGTGGGTAGCCAAAAATCGTGGTTCTGCTGGGCTCCAGCCTTTCAGAGGTTGTGGAGGAATGGTATCCTTCAGGGAAAGCTATGACCCTGGCTGAATTTGCACTATTTCCCCCAAGATGTGGGTGAGCAGAGATAAGTAAATTCAAGGAGAGGATCCACATTTTTTCCTGTTGACAATATTAACTTGTAGTCCCTTCTCAAGAACCCACTTTGCCATTGGTAATAGACGTGAGTGGAACAGCATGTGGCTGCCAGGGCAACTTCGATGCCCTATGACAGCAGCTTGTTAAGACTAATGAACTGCTGGATTTCCTCTTTGCAGGGATACAGAGCCATATTTGCCAGCATTAAGCTGGTGTGTAAGTTACTTCTCAGCTAAGTGAGCTTTTTGCACAAGGAACATATATAGGTCTGATGGCAACACCAGTTCTCTTTTATTGTACCATTGTTACCTAGCTGAGCAGTGATTAGACTGTGGGAGCTTTCCTCAAGGTTTTGGCCTTCCTTCTCTCAGTGTGTATAAGTGTACACACACATATGCATGCCAGTGTGACTGTTCTGTCAGATATATTTGACTTTGTTTCTCTGTGACAGTAATGAATACGTTTTCACACATTATTAAGGTTTCATTTATAATTGTCTGTCATAGGACATTTATTAAATGCATTTTCTCCCTCTGTCATTAATAATACCTGGGTTTAAAAATGTTCATCCCCTTCCTCATTTTCTTTTCTTTAATTTTTCAGCGGGCTAATTAAATTGAAAAATATAATTTCACAATTAAAAAAAACCCTTTTTTTTTTGCCACCAGGCTAGCAGTGTTGAATCAGTTGCATATTAACCACAGTCTAGACAAGTTCAAAGGAAGGCAGTCTTGATTTACCTAGCATGTCTAAAGGCTGACACTATATATGATTTGTTGGTACAGTCCTATGGAAGGAAAGTGAGTTTTATTTGTTACAGCATTGTATGATGATTAATCCCGCAACTTTGTTGTATTTGAAGTTTTCATAGTAATAAGGTTGGAGCCCAAGGCAGTTTCTGAGTAAAGCCTGCTTCCTTCACTCTTTAGTAGCTAGCAGCCTTGGAGTGTGTGAAAACAAACAAACCAAAAATATTTGGCTTGACTGCGTGATGAAAAGTATCAGATCCATTGTTCCTCCTAGGCACTCCTTCCCTCCTCCTCCTCCTCCTTGCCCTCCCCACCAATGTCTCTTAATTGGTTTTCTGATAACAGGAAGCAGACTCTCCTCTCAGTTTGGCACAAACCCTGTACCCCTAACTTTTTACCTCTTTGTCAAGGCACCTTAATCACATGGTTGGAAGCCAGAGTTAGATTTAACTTGTGGGAGAGTGCTTATAATAAACAAAGCATCACCTCTAGTAGGATTTCAGTTTTATGCCCTGTAGGCTTAACTAAGTCATGTAAATGGGACTATAACCATTAAGGGGTACTTATAGTACTGATTTACATATATATTGCATTTTAAGGTTTGCAAAGTTTTTTCTGCATTATTATGCCCATTTTATAGATTTTACTTATGTATTACATTTAACGGATAACAAAGTTTCTATTTCCTTTATTATTATGCCCATTATAAATGAGCTAACTCAGGTTATGAGGTTAAGTGTCATTTAGGTGACTGATACAGGATTTGAACCTAGGTCTCTTGACTCCAGGTCCAGCACTATCCACTAGGCAATATTGCCTTTCACAGAAGACAACCTCAAACCCATTTTGCTTTTAGTACTGCCTCCTCTTCTGCAGTCTTTCTTCTTAATGGAATGTACCAAGGGCAGTTGCACATAACTGTTGGGCCCAGAGAACCATTCAGGTTTTGAAATTTTGAATGCTGATTGCTCAGGACAGCGAAAAAATATTGCTAAACACTGACCACACCACTGCTACTTGCCATCTTCATCATCCACTCCCCTTTGAAAAAAAAAAGACAAGAAAAACTCTTTTGCCATCTTCTGCAAGGAACCCTAGGCAAGAGGAAGCTTCCTTAGAGGTGAAATGGAGGTAATTATTAGAAGGTATTCTCACTCAGATACTAAGAAAGATAGCTAGCCTTAAAGTGAACCTGAACTAAAGGAGAAAATCCAAAGATTCTGATTTAGTTTTAAGAGAAACTGTGGGTTAGATGTTCAAGCCCAGGACATCTGTACATTTGAGGATTAAAGCTGGACTCTTGTTACCTCCACACTGTTTCATGCTGATAATACGGGTAATTTTTCTGCTTAATCTTTAGTGAGTCTGGTGTTAACACCAATGATGGACATGCACAGTATCCAGGGTGAGAATTTTGACACTGATTTTTCATGCAAGGGAATCCGTTACCTTTCATTCAGGGATCCGAATCTAGTAAATAGTACCTATGGACTTTCCTGCAATTTAAAACAAAAATGAATTCCCCCCCCCTCCAAAATGAATAGCTTTAGCTATTATCTATTCCTACGATTCCTGCGCTCTACACACTTAGGATTGTGGCTGAAGTAACAGCATCTCTCCCCATCACGTAACAGTAAATTACACTGTGCTCATGTGGTTTATTATTTTGTGGAATTTAGCTGACACACAACTTTGAAGGTCCCCAAAGTAGGCTTCTGAAAACTTGCAAGAAAATTTTCGATAACTCTCTGAAAAAGCAGGGGAAAGGCAAAGGTAGGAAGAATGCTGATGTGGTTTTGAGGGTACTGTTCCATTTTTTTGGAAAGGAGACAGGTAGCTACATCCTAGCCCTTCCCTCTCAGTAGGGATGATGACTTTTCTGGACCTACCATCCACTTCCAAAATGAAAGCTGACTTGTAGCTTTAGCTAATGGGGACACCTCTTTCAGAGGGTTTTTTTTTTCACTGCTGAAAATCTGAACACTGATTTATCCTTGGTTGTCTGTATTGTTTCATTGTGGAGGGGAAAGCAGAGGAGAGGGCATAATGATGTTGTTCTGTAAGTCCTATCTGAAACCAGTTTTGCTTCATGCCATCAGGAGCATGGCATGTTTATTTGAAAATCATTTTGAAATTCTGTTAGTTGTTAATGCTGATTCATAATTGGCAGATGGGGTCAGTTTCAGGCCTCTTTTCTGCTTGGAGAAAATTTTCCACTGCTACTGGAAACAAATAAATAAATCGCAGCATTCCTTTCCCCTTCCCCCATGCCTCATTGTTTTAGACTAATGGCATACTTGGCCACTGTAAGAACTAAAGCATCCTAATAACATTGCAGTTTCATCTTGGTTCCAAACACCCTGAAACACTTTTTAGAAGGGCCTCTGGTACAAGGTGTCTCTAGAGGACAACCTGCACAAATGATTGCCTTCCAAGAACAGTCTGTGAGAAAGAGATCGGATTTGGCCTTTGAGCCATGCTCCTTCTTGACCTACACAGCAAGGAAAGCTGCCTTCTCTGGGCCCTAAAAGCCAAGTGCTATCACAAAAAGGAGGACAAAGCAAACTCAAGTCTCCCCATCCTCAGTTTTGTCTCAGTCCCCAATTTGCAAACAACAACAACAACAACACAAAAACCTTTTTATGAATTATAATTTCTTGGCAACCACATTGGCCGGGTGAATTTGTAGACACAAAGGAGCCTTGCAAACCACACTGAAAGCATAAAATATCGGGTGCTTGTTTTGTGTGTGATTCGTGTGGTCTTTAGCTGCAGTAAATGTATTTCTTTATTTGAAGCAGGGTGGCTGTATCTTTTTAAAAAATAGAAATATCTCTCTTACCTAGATTTCTCTTTTTAAAGATTTAAGTATGTGTTAGTAGTGAGAGCACTTGGTCATAGGATAGGATTTGGTGTTTGGTCTTTTTTAAAATTAGCATATGTATCAACATTCTCTTTTATTAGGAGGAATCTGCAGTTTCAGAGGGTCTCTACTATTGTTCAGTCTAGATTTCCCTAATGGTGTTTTGTAATGAGATGAACTGTTTGCTTTAAAGATGTTATAGTAGCCAAACTTTTGGGGGAGGAATGAGGAGGATTATTA